GCTTGCCCAGAAATCTGGAGGCAGTATCACCTAACGGTGAGTAGAAGCACCTTTTTTATTTTCCCCAAGACCTAGCCTATTTACCCTTCTCTGAACTGCTGACCATAAAATATAGACAAGCATCTTCTACTGGGAGATAATAAACATCTGAAGAGTTTTTGCACTGAGAAAGCAATAATACACTTTTTCTCTTCTCCCCTGCTCAATACTCTATCCTTTATCTTCCTGTTCTTAGAAGATTTTGATTGTTTTTATTACTCACATCATTTAATGATTACGTCATACTATTTCTCAGTCTTCCTAGACTACATGCGTTAAATTGAAGGGAAAAGTATAATAGGAGCAAAAAAAAAGGAAAAAAACCAGCATCTTTAAAATGTTGTATTATCTACAGTCCACAAGCATACTGTCCACACTATCTTCCATTATTTTTCTAGCTTTATTAAAACATTTACACATATTTTTTAGTGACGCTAGAAAAAACTTAGTGTATCTTTCATATAGAACAATTTAACTGTCATATCCTTAAGCTCCTCTTGACTTATTCAAAGTATATAAATATCTGCTTGATACTGTTCAAGTTATTCAATTCTCTGGTTTCCCTTTATTGTGATTTTAGACTAAGTAGAAGCAGAAAACATAGTTTTCTATGGAATCAATTGGCTACTGCTGAAGTCAATATTATGAAGTCAGTTTGTTTTTAATATTCAGCATAAATAATTTCAATAATTCACCATAGCCCTACTAATAATTCTTTTAATGTATTGTATATGTTCTACTGAGCAAGAGACTACAATAAAAATTACTCTTGTAATTATACAGTTATGCAGTATATTTTAAAGCTGCTCCTTAAAGTTTAATGTATTAAAAAGTTTGTTTATAGGAAGGCAAGTAGTAAAAATAGATCAGGCAGAGTTTTTACAAAACATGTCTTCTTAACTGCTGTCCTCTCATGGAGTAGAAATAAACCAATAAGTAGACTCAAACTGCCATTGTGTCTATCCCAGGCCCCAAAAGCGCATCAGATGGTTTATTTTCAATATTCTATTATCACTGTTTAATTTGTTTAAAGATTCTCCATAGAGAACTGTAATTCCTCAGCTATCCTCAATCCCAAATTAGGTTTTGTTAAATCTTTAATGTTACCTCCCACTCACCCTCGAATTAAATAAATAAATAAATACATGTGTGCGTGTGCGCGCACACACACGTTACACATGCACATTACAGATGTAACCCATGTGAATATGTTTGTGCTCAGGTAGCAATTCTTTTGTCCTAACACACTATGGTGAAATCCTTAGCCTAAACTTAATTGGAATCCAATCATGTATTATATTTTTCAAGATCACAGTCTTCATTTATAGCTATATAGCAAGTTTTTCATCAGTATTTTTATTAGGTAATAGTCTAATGGATTTAACATTGCATTACTTTTCCCTTTTCCCTTGAGTGAGAGAATTCCAATTTTGAAAACTTGAAGTATGGGAATTACTGTTTTAAAGCCATTCTTTTCATTATTTGCACCTATGTTCTTTTATTTGTCATAGAAGGATAGAAATCGATGTTTAGTATAACAGATATTTGAAGGTTTGTTTAATATTGTAACTTTTGAAAATAAATTATTAAAAAATAGCTGGGAAAAATAAAAACAAAATGAATTTGTCTTTTGGAAAATTATAGTATATTCTACCTATAAGTTTAACAAAATCTTTTCAAAATATTTGTCTCAATCTGGAAACCTGATTAATTTTTCAAAATAATATTGAAGTAACTATCACAACTCATAATGATCAAGTTTAAATTAACAATTAGGAACTAAGAATTAGTTTGCCGTGCAAGTATAAATGCAAAACGGGTCTATTTATAAACACGTGTACATATATATCAATCCGTCTAAAATAAAGTAACTAAATAAGTAGGCATATAGGCAATATCCTAATGTGTGCAATTAAGCTGTATTTAATCTTGAATAAAAACAAGATGCATGGTGAGTTTAGTCATCTTCAGCTCTTTTACTAGGCGATGGACTGCCATCTATTGACTCATAGTAGCCCTCACATGTGAATGTGGCATCAATCAGAGCAATGACCAAGTAGTGAAGCCAAGGTTACAGTTACTACCGTATATTCATTTAAACCAGTCTTCCTAAACTGGAAATTTCTAGTCATTGATTGATTTCTTTTTCTAACCAAAATGTGTCCATTTCTTACCCAAAGTGAACTATGCTTTTTTGGGGGAGAAATTGATTTGTATAACTAGTTTAGAAATGTTTACATTTGAGAGGTTTTTAATTGCTTTTATCTGACTCCCAGTCAGTGAGAATTTACACAACCTAAAGTTTAGCAACTACAATTTAAAGTCTATCTAGGAATAACTTTCTTTTGGAAAAAAAAAAGCCTATAGATTAAACAGAGTGTTATTTCTCAAACACGTAGAAAAGGTGGTGAAGCTGATTAGGATAAACAGACCACCTATGAAATCAAATCAAATCAAATAAAAAATTCTTTTAAACATTCTGAAATAAGAAGAAAACTAAAAAAGAGAAGTGTTCACTGTTTTCAGCAATTTCATGAGAGATCTAAAAAAGCCTCCTTAACAACTTACATCTGAATAGAATACCTGTTTAACCAAACTTGACTAGCCTTCACTACATTAATAAAAAAGACCATCATTCTAAAGGGTACATGCTAATAAAAATCTAAGACAGTCTAAGATATATCTGTAAGATATATATCTATATCCATATTATAATAAATATTTGGGTATGTCATTTTTCTTGATATATTTTAGTGGCTATAGAAGCATGTCATATAATTTAGTGACTTTAGATTATCATTTTGGGGACCTGCATGAGAAAAAGAAAAATACATGTTTTTTATTTAGCAATTAAATAATTTCCCCAAATAGTTGATGTATTTATGTCCTTCAAAAAATGTTTAGGAAGTTTTTAAAATTTCAATGGTACAACACTGTTCTTGTATTTTAATTTCTTTTATATTTTTAGATTTTGGTAAAGCCTAACTTTGAATATTCTTTTTCTTCTTTCAGATAGCTCACTGTACATAAAAATTTTCCCTCTTTAACTATTCAAGAAGGAAAGTCCCTCCCCCCACCCTCTATCATTTCTAGTCTCATTTATATTAAAAATCCTAGGCCAAAATGGCCAACAACAGAGTTTTACAACCAACAGAGTTTTTAACTAGTAGAAGCTATAATTTTACATGCTTTGGACGTTTTGTTAATCTTGTTTTTAATCTACTTACTTAAAAAATAACCAGGAGTTGGCTATTTAGGGGCTGTATGTATTAAGAAGGGCATATTTAATATTGCCCTTGGATTTCTTTGCGTGCATTGTTAAAGTATGTTACAACCTACTACCTTTTATTTTAACTAAAAGTTTAAACAGGAAGCAAATGTAACCTTTTTGGAATAATTAAGTTTTAAAATGTTCTCTCTGTGTAATGTTTGGAATGTCTAGAATTCGCACTTCAAAAACTAAAATACTTGCTGTCAGGGAAATGGAGAGGAATATAGTTTCCTTGTCTTCCTTTCTAACCCAGGAAAGTCTTGTGACCTGAGTTTACCAGTAATCAGCAGTCAGTCTCACCTGAACTAGTTGAATGCCGAAATGTATCTTAGGGACCATACTTAACTATATCATTTCATCTTGTTACTCAGTTTTCTCTCCTTACCTAGAAATATCAATTTGAAATATGTTTTCTGAGCTCTCACAGTATTGAAATAAGAGTTTTACACTAAACGAGAATGTTACCTTCTAAAGCATTCTCTGCTGTACCACAGAATAGGTAACCCTAAATGTCAACAGATTTAAATTTAACTTTAGAACTATATTTTACAGTCCAGAAGGAAGGACTGAGAAACTGGAATTTGGTTACGAGGCGATAGCTATACAAAAGTCTTTATCCTGGAATTGTGGGTAGGTAGCAATGTTCTAACTGCCTAATATTCAAATGGGATATATTTTTAAATAGCTTAAAATGAGAAATAAAGAGTTTCAAAAAGTCGACCTCGAGCCAGAATCTTATCTTTTCATGGGGAAAAAACTCTCTCTTCATTGGATATATGTTGGGAAACTAAATCTCATTCTGAGAGCTCCATGGCTGCATAAGGAGAACTGCAAAACCATATGAACCCCATCCACACAGTGATAGGTCTCTTTGTGTGCGTGTGTGTGTGTGTGTGTGTGTGTGTGTGTGCATGCGCGCCTGCATCTGAGGAAATAGAACTGGTTACAGATTGTATTTTAAAATGTCAAATAGCTCCAAATAGAGTGAGAACTAGGCCTTACTCTTTTTTAAAATTATTTAAATCAACTTTTTTTTGTACATTTTTTTGAGGCCTGCACACAAATTATCACAAACTAAAACTTTTATAAATTTATTTTGGAGGCTCTTATTTTGGTAGTTCAATTCACTTTGCCAGCTTCCTCAAGAACCAGTTGTGCTCTTGTTTAAATTATAGGGGTTTTTCCTCCATGTCTGTTATCACCATGGTTAAGTGTTGTTATTAAGATACTATATCTCTGTCAAATTTTCAAAGTTTTAGTTTTTATTTAAAAAATGCCCTTAATACTAAAACTCTACTAAAGTGAATGTAATCATGCTTTGATGATTCAGATGGTACATGACTATTTTCTAGTACCTCAGGGCCACCTTTCCGTGGTAGTACTACAAAATTAATCACACTACTTTCTGTCTCAATTTACTTTGGTGTGTGAATAAAAAGAATTTTCTGAATAATCATTGATGATTTATTTTCTAATATTCCATCTATGATAACAGACATAGAAAATACATTTGGCCAGTAACCAAAAATTTTACAGATTTTTCTAATGTAAAATGTATGTGAATACTTTTATATTTATTTAAATACCTTGTTCTTAAAGAATTCAGTGTCAACATTTTTGCTAGTAATATTTTACTTCAGTCTTGCCATGTTTGAATTTAGAATAAAAGGTAATTACTACATTTACAGAGTAGGCCAACTGATTTTTTTTAAAGTCTTTATTTCAC